CAGGGCTAACGTTAGCCCGTCTGCAGCAGCCAGGGCTAACGTTAGCCCGTCTGCAGCGGCCCTCTCTCTGCATGGCCGTGTGTGAAGCACCGCTGGCTCTAATGGAGGTTTTTGACTCAGCTTTGGAATCAGTTCTGGAAGGATTAGACTTTGGGTTTCCATTGAAACCTGAGCAGGCTCTATGTCATTTATTTTAAGAAGGACGTATTCGCAGTTATACCGACAGGCCATCGGAGCCAGACTAAATTACACATTTAATCTCACATTTAGTCTGGTTTATCAGGCTATGCAAGCAGCCTTCCAACACCGTAAGCAAGGCTGCCGTTACAACTGATGCATTCTACACAGGCTAGATTATGAAAGTTTATGATGGGCAAACATCGTAGTTACTAAATGTCTCAGACATCCAATGAAGGCGGTTTTAAGAACTCTGCAGCATTTCAGGTTCTTCAGCCTGTTGAAAAACAATAACAGGATATAACTTTTGAATTTTGTCACTACTTTATTCCAAAGTAAATTTATACAGTACTTCCCTGGGCTGCCATCTTATCGTAGTGGAGTGGTTTGAGAGTCCTAATGACCGTAGGAGCTATGCTTTCAGGAGCCCAATGCCCCTAGTAGGGTCACCCTTGGCAGACAGGACCAAAGAGCAGCCCAAAGACCCCTTATGACCCCAGCTAGAGATAGTCTGACTTACCTCAATGCATGGCTCTGGCTCTCTTTGAGAGGGGCTGGACATTATTTTGGCATAATCTAATTTTCTATTTACAGCTACGAAATCGACCACAAATCCATCTGTCCAATCAGATGGGTTTGGTGCAGACCTCCCTCCCCAGGCTTCTTGTTCTGACCCAAACAGAGTGGAGCGAGAACAATAAGAACAATTTATATAAGAAGGATTCCAGCTTTATCTGGTTTAGAGCCAAAGACTAGCTTCTACTACTTGTTCCAGATTCCAAGTTGCTCAGGAAACCAGATTTAAACTACATCTAACAAACAAGTATGTCAGATGGCAACCAGGCATCACATGCATCTGATTGAGCAGAATTCAGAAAATATGTTGCTGCCGTGGACTGTATGAAAACCCCAGCAGACTGAAAAACAGACTGCTTACCGGCGGTCCTCCGGATCCCGGATGTCCTTTACTCCCCTTATCACCAGGGTCTCCAGGTTGTCCCTATAAGAAACACAAAGTTTTATCAGCATCAGCCTTCCGATCTATCTTGTTGGGTAAGATTCACTTCTGAGCAAACCCAAGAGAAAGGAGGTGACTTCATTCAACATTCCTGCTTTACCCCAGTTTCTTCTCATTTCTGTCTTTTATTTTGATGCAGAAAAATCAAGATGCTGTGATTCTGCTCAGAATCAACTTACAGACGGTTAAATCATTGGCTGCCATCATTCCTTATCTGCTTTAAAATGATTGATGATGATAGATTCTGCACACCTTCTCTCCATGAGCACCATTACGTCCAGCTGTTCCTGGAACGCCAGGTTGTCCTCCATTTCCCTGCAGAAAAATAAACGTAGAAGAAGCCATCTGAGGAGGTCAAGCTGCTGAAAGGATTCTACGATCTACCAAAGGAGGTTCTATAGGCTGCTAGAGGAGGTTCTATAGGCTGCTAGAGGAGGTTCTATAGGCTGCTATAAGAGGTTCTATAGGCTGCTATAGGAGGTTCTATAG